CCGCCTGTGCCTTCTTTTTGCTATGCCGGGTACTTGCACACAGCATCATTTCCTGCGGTGCCTTGTCCCAATCTCAGCCTTGGAGTTTCGGATTCTTCAATTATACTGATGTCGTCCTTTGTTTCTCACCCTGCCTGCTCCTTGAGGAGCCGGCTGTACACCTACGGTGTCACCATGTCACTGTCGCAGAAACGCTGCCGGTTGACCAGCTCAGGTGCAAGAGTATGCCAAGTTCAGAGTCACCTCAGCCGCAGCCTCCTGCACACATGCAGCAGTTTCCATGGCATTCCAGAAACTAACTTGCTTGGACAGTTACACTGGCATTGCCCAGAGCCGTGCTTGCCGAAACCCAGAGCTGAAGAAATGGAAGTTGAGAAGGTTGATTCGAAAAGCAGAACGACAGTTTACTGTGGCCCAGCTAGCTGTGGACCCTTCTTGGCTGGCTCCAAGAAAGTGCTTGGTCTTCGGCATATTTGGAAACAAATATTCCTACTTGGAGGTCGGGTCAAGCTATGATGGCTGGCCAGAGTACTTGGCATCATTGGGCCTTTCCTGTCGCAGTGGAGATGCGGAGCATGAGCACCCGCCCGGCTGACATCGGCGCAGCGCTGACCGTGCCCGCCAGGGCACGACCTCATTGCAGCAAAGAACAGCGGTGCTAGATACACGTCATCAGGCCATGGAAGAGTTGTTTTGCCGCATCATTCGCGTAATCCGTTGCTGATTGGAGGGAAAGCCTGGCCGCGGATTTCGGCTCAAGAGCGCGTTTTGACGAAAGCTTCTCCAGGAGCGCAATGGCAGAGGAGCACCCAAGTTGCATGAAGGCTGAATGAGGCACACAATCGACAGCACAAGGCCACAAATCGTTCGCACTTGGCAAGTAACAAAATTCTGCAGCACGTCAAATTGTCGGCAGTAGCCAGGGGGAGTTTATCCTTTTTTGGCAATTGCAGGGAGTGATGTGCCAGCTGTATGTCGATCCTTCTCTAACACCTACTTTTTCTCTTTGTCCATGACTTCCACTCAAATCCAGAACCAGCCAAGGTGGAGAAGTGACGACGCAGGCGTCTTGACGCAGCTTTGTGAGGAGTGGGAGCTTTAGACTATCATTCCGAAAAGAAGCATTGATGATAATCGCAAGGAGCTGGGAGTCACCAACATGAAAGTTGAGGACAGGGCTGCTCAGAAGTTCTTTCGCCACTGTGAAAAAATGTCAGTTTTCCATCGTTCTGCCAGCCATGCATGGCTTCTTGTCAAGGGTGCGCCGCGCTTGTCTGGGCAGAAGCCAACTTGTTATTTTGGGAGGAAGCTCATAGCTACCTCGCGCTTTATGCCTTTTCAAGGCTTGAGGCGCATGAGCCGAGATTCACCTTGCAAATTGTCCAGTTTGTTTGCCTTGCTGCTCCAGGGGATTATTGTGCCAAGCGAGCCAAGTGGAAGCTTTTTCTGCATCTACTAGTTTGCATCATTTTGCACGTGAACCTGTGGAAGGCGGAGAAGATCTACGGTCTTATCTTCGTTTGCCAGCTTGGGCAATTTCATGCGACGGGGTTCGCCAATATCTGCAGATGAGCGTCTGTAAAGTTTTGGAGAGAAAGCTGCGCAAATTTAATTGCATGAGGAAAAGGCACTCCTCGATTCGCACTTTTTCTGATCCCGGGCGAGCTACAGCCTCAACTGCACAGTTGAAGTCTTTGTCGACAAGAAGACTCCAGCGGCCACTGGAATCGTTGCTTCATCTGAGGCCGTCGTGGCGACGCTTTTGGCCGCCTCTGATGTGGACATGGGGCCTGATCTCCGACGACTGCAGGCGAGCATAACCCGATCAAATTGATTCGACTGACTCGCTAGTCTACTGGTCCTGAGCCATCCTTGCAGTTGTCAGGAGAGGACTGCTGACCTGGACTTTCGGAAGAAGGACTCGGCAATCATGGAGTCCCGTTTTGTTCGCGAGGCAGACATGCTCTGAACTCAACTTGTGGTTTCCCGCGCTGAATTCCACTGTAGCGTTCGCGGGCGGAAGGCTTTAGATTCCTGCCGTCGCCGGCTGTCGGCAGCCATCATCAATGCAGAGGCTCTTCTGCTGGCACTTTGGCTCGCGCAATTTAGCCTTTCTCCATGATTTGGCTCCCATTCGGTCGCCCAATTCACCGAGTTTTGTTTCGGCTTCCTATTTCTGGTTGCGACAGCAGATTTTGTTGCCTCCTTGCCTCGTGCCATCCTGCAATGGGATTCCCCAATACGCACTGTTTCGCTGACTCATTCACTCATCACTCCCTCCCTCCCTCGCTTACTCACGCTTAGTTTAGGTAGTCCTATTTTCGCTTTGGCCTGCGGTGGGCCACAGGATGAAATCGAAGAAAGCCAGATGGAGCAACAAGTTATTGTTTTGTGTGGGTGTGTTTCGCAGGTGTTGATGCTTCGGAAAATGCAGCACGAATTGATTCTTATCACATAAGCACGAACTATCACAATGTGTAGTTGTGTTGCGAACGTTGGGGCCAAATTGAATGGAAACTCATGTACAACTTTGTCACTTGAACCCTGATTCAAGCATTTGCTCGACATGTCATGCTTGTCTATTTTGACTTGGTTGGCTCAACGTGATGCGCGTCGACAGGATCTTGAGTTGGGGTTTGATCTTTTAGCAGAATCAGAATATGCATAAATTCAAACACCTGAAATGAGAAGCGAGAGGTGATGGATGTTGATGAGTAGATATCGAAATACACGTGACTACTGGTTGAAACAGTGCCAGATGAGTCACCTAGAAATTGAAATAGACGAATAAGTAGCTGTACAGAAGTCATAAGTTCCTTTATCATTTTCTTGACAACCTAAGATGAGGCAACGTGAGGATAGGTTTCAACAATTGGAATGCTTCGGATTCGCGGAGCAGAGGTAAGATGATTTGAGTAAGGGTAAAACTACGCTTCTCGTGGCCGATTTGGAGCAAAGCAACGTCTGCTCCTGTTTAAGTAGAATTGGTGTATTGCCCAGGTGAACCCTCACTCAGAGAAAATCAAATCCAACATGTACGACACGATAAGACGAGTGAAGGTCAAGATCTGAAAGTAAAGCGAGATGATGCGTGTCAAAATTTGATGATTTGGGATGCATCGAGACGACACCTCCTCGGCAGCCGGGCCGGCCCACAGCAGAGTGCGAGGAGACAGGGGTGCAGGCACGAGGGTTCCAGCGAGTCCAGCCCGGGGGGGGGGGGGGGGGAGCGCACAGAAACTTTTCGGTTGGGGAATGGGTTGGGAAGGGGGGAAGGAGTCCAGATCCTGGTCTGCTTGTTCTAGTGCCGAGGCGATTTAAAATGGTGGTAACTTGACATGCCTAACTTCCGATAAACTAAGAGGAGGTGAGACAACTTCGAACAGACTTACATAGATGAAGTAGGAGGAGCCAGCGCTGAGACAAAATAAGATCAGTGGAGATAGCTTGGGATGACCCAGCAGAAATGATTTGAATGGATACTCGATTGGGGCATGGCTGATCTTTTTTGCTGACTGAAGATGGCGTAAAGATCACTTCGGTGCATAGCTTGCTGGCCTAGAGCACATCACAACTTGAATGTCACAAGAACTCACGTCATCATGTTGTAGCGACAGAGAATGAAATACGGTATAGGAAAAAACAGCTCTTCGGCAACTGCGCACATTGTAGCCACGGGGTGCCGCAAACATCAGGAAATGCAGTTAAGCTGCATGTATATAGTTCGATCTCAGCCACTCCCACCACTTGTTCATTTTGGCAGCGCCAGTTTATCCATGAGCTTTTGCCCGATTGGAGTCCAAGGTGGGAGAAGATCTTCCGTCTCAAATCCAGGCGTGGCCTCTTTCACAGACTTGTGGGATCTTGCAGCTGGGCTTGCGTCGTGAAAGCACGCTGGGTGAGGCATGTGTGGGGACAGCTGCTGGGCCTTATCGCTTGCTCGCTATCGTCGTACCATCCTGAGGAGTGTCCCACCCTTCCATTGACAGTTATACAGTTTGGCAAACCCAGGCCAAGGACATCAGCGCTTCTCCTGACGTTGTGGCCACAGGACTGTGCTGGGACAAATTGAGTTGGATCCTTTGACAACTACCCATCGCTCTCAATTTTTGAGATGCAGCAGGATATAATTGTAAACGCTTGCACACGCTGCCTCGGCAGCCAGGCCGGCCAGACGCGTCGTGTAGCGTGCGCGTCGCAAACGCCCCGGTCAGGGTGTTAGGAGCAGGTCCGCGACAGGTCCCAGGACGGGTTTCAAGGAGTGTTTCGCGCCCTTGCTCCTTTCAAGCGGTTTGGGCAGCTCCCTGGTCTGCCTGTTCCAGACACTTCTCGGCCGGAGTTCGAGGCGAATAACAGGTCGCGAGTCGCAAAACTCATCACCCCTCCCCCCTCGCAAGTCACACGCAGGACTTCGAACTCTGAGCTCCCAGCTCTTCGAGGTGCAGTGGTGGCGTACCGGCCCACCATTGCATGTTGCTGCTGCTGCTGCTCATTGGAGGCGCTGGGGAGCTTGTTGATTGACAGCCCGCAAGGTCATCATGCTGCAGGGGTACTGTTGTTGTCTTGAGCCCAGTCTCCCAACAGAACGCTGAACCTTGGAAGTTCCCGAGCCCCTTTGATCCGAATGTGGGGCCAACGTCCGGATTTCTAATCTTCGGGCGGTTCAATCCAATTCAACAAACAGTGCCGGGAATCCTCTTGCTCGGTCTCGTACGTGTGCGGCTGGTAATTCTGAGCAGTTCCCCTGTCGAGTCCGTCCGCCGTGCCTTCACATTCAAGCGTGAACTTGGAGTTTCAAGAAAGCTTCCTTGTGTTGCGGAGGTCCCACTTCCGTGGCAGCATGTGGCCCTTGTGCGCCGGGCAGAGCGGTGCGGGAGGTCCCTGGATTTGACGATTGTCGAGTCGTGACCTCAGACTCGTCTTATGATTGCCTTCAATGCTGGTTGCTTTATGCTGTGGCCTGTGGTAGGAATTCTTCGGCACCACGAGCCAGTCACTTCATGCAGCTGCAGATGTGTGATGATTCTTGGCACTGCAAGGAGTCCAGCGGAAGTTGTACCGGCTATCGAAAAACAAATGTGACAGATTCATGCAGCGGAACATTGCAGATACATGAGGCTTCCCAAGCCACGTGTGGACTGAAGGAAAAATGTCCTCCCTCTCAGGATGGTTTGCGGAAGACGAAGGAGCGGACAGCGCTGAGCGACTACTCCTTCTGTGGCAATGCGGCGAAGCTTGCCACGATCTACCTGCCGCCTCCGCCAGTCCGTGCATTGGTAGATGCGCACTTCGACGCTGCGATGGAGGCAGTGGTCTCTCAGCCACTCCAGTGGTCGCTGTGCTCATGCCAGCGGGCGCCTCGGGTGCGACTTCTTCAGACGTGGCTGAAGTCTGAATCTTGCCCTGAGGCCTGACGCCAGGTGGGCAAGAGCCCCTGGTGCTTCTTGGCGTCGCTGCGCAGGCCGACGCGTGGCGCGTGCAGTGCAGCCTACAGTTTATTTAGAGCTTGTGGCTTCGGAACAGCGCGAAAATGAATGGCAGCTTCGCGCCAAATTGCGCACTGGGTCGGCGACCTTCAGATTGCAGTTCACTGCTCAAGGTCTTGTGGGAAAGAAAGCCAACATAAACTTCCTGAAATCAATGTGGCGCAATATGGAGTTCGCAGCCAGACCGATGTGTAGTGAGTCACAAGGCCCAAGTATGGCCCGCAAACATTCTCCACCCCGACATGCCCAACTGTCACAATCTCGTCGCGGTTGGAGTGTGCGCGGGGGTGAACACATCAGCTGAACAGGGCCTAGGGATACTGCGGGTCCCGCACCGCTCTGCCCGGCGCACAAGGGTCACATGCTGCCACGGAAGTGGGACCTCCGCAACACAAGGAAGCTTTCTTGAAACTCCAAGTTCACGCTTGAATGTGAAGGCACGGCGGACGGACTCGACAGGGGAACTGCTCAGAATTACCAGCCGCACACGTACGAGACCGAGCAAGAGGATTCCCGGCACTGTTTGTTGAATTGGATTGAACCGCCCGAAGATTAGAAATCCGGACGTTGGCCCCACATTCGGATCAAAGGGGCTCGGGAACTTCCAAGGTTCAGCGTTCTGTTGGGAGACTGGGCTCAAGACAACGCATGATGACCTTGCGGGCTGTCAATCAACAAGCTCCCCAGCGCCTCCAATGAGCAGCAGCAACATGCAATGGTGGGCCGGTACGCCGCCACTGCACCTCGAAGAGCTGGGAGCTCAGCTGCAGGAGTTCGAAGTCCTGCGTGTGACTTGCGAGGGGGGAGGGGTGATGAGTTTTGCGACTCGCGACCTGTTATTCGCCTCGAACTCCGGCCGAGAAGTGTCTGGAACAGGCAGACCAGGGAGCTGCCCAAACCGCTTGAAAGGAGCAAGGGCGCGAAACACTCCTTGAAACCCGTCCTGGGACATGTCGCGGACCTGCTCCTAACACCCTGACCGGGGCGTTTGCGACGCGCACGCTACACGACGCGTCTGGCCGGCCTGGCTGCCGAGGCAGCGTGTGCAAGCGTTTACAATTATATCCTGCTGCATCTCAAAAATTGAGAGCGATGGGTAGTTGTCTAAGGATCCAACTCAATTTGTCCCAGCACAGTCCTGTGGCCACAACGTCAGGAGAAGCGCTGATGTCCTTGGCCTGGGTTTGCCAAACTGTATAACTGTCAATGGAAGGGTGGGACACTCCTCAGGATGGTACGACGATAGCGAGCAAGCGATAAGGCCCAGCAGCTGTCCCCACACATGCCTCACCCAGCGTGCTTTCACGACGCAAGCCCAGCTGCAAGATCCCACAAGTCTGTGAAAGAGGCCACGCCTGGATTTGAGACGGAAGATCTTCTCCCACCTTGGACTCCAATCGGGCAAAAGCTCATGGATAAACTGGCGCTGCCAAAATGAACAAGTGGTGGGAGTGGCTGAGATCGAACTATATACATGCAGCTTAACTGCATTTCCTGATGTTTGCGGCACCCCGTGGCTACAATGTGCGCAGTTGCCGAAGAGCTGTTTTTTCCTATACCGTATTTCATTCTCTGTCGCTACAACATGATGACGTGAGTTCTTGTGACATTCAAGTTGTGATGTGCTCTAGGCCAGCAAGCTATGCACCGAAGTGATCTTTACGCCATCTTCAGTCAGCAAAAAAGATCAGCCATGCCCCAATCGAGTATCCATTCAAATCATTTCTGCTGGGTCATCCCAAGCTATCTCCACTGATCTTATTTTGTCTCAGCGCTGGCTCCTCCTACTTCATCTATGTAAGTCTGTTCGAAGTTGTCTCACCTCCTCTTAGTTTATCGGAAGTTAGGCATGTCAAGTTACCACCATTTTAAATCGCCTCGGCACTAGAACAAGCAGACCAGGATCTGGACTCCTTCCCCCCTTCCCAACCCATTCCCCAACCGAAAAGTTTCTGTGCGCTCCCCCCCCCCCCCCCCCGGGCTGGACTCGCTGGAACCCTCGTGCCTGCACCCCTGTCTCCTCGCACCCTGCTGTGGGCCGGCCCGGCTGCCGAGGAGGTGTCGTCTCGATGCATCCCAAATCATCAAATTTTGACACGCGTCATCTCGCTTTACTTTCAGATCTTGACCTTCACTCGTCTTATCGTGTCGTACATGTTGGATTTGATTTTCTCTGAGTGAGGGTTCACCTGGGCAATACACCAATTCTACTTAAACAGGAGCAGACGTTGCTTTGCTCCAAATCGGCCACGAGAAGCGTAGTTTTACCCTTACTCAAATCATCTTACCTCTGCTCCGCGAATCCGAAGCATTCCAATTGTTGAAACCTATCCTCACGTTGCCTCATCTTAGGTTGTCAAGAAAATGATAAAGGAACTTATGACTTCTGTACAGCTACTTATTCGTCTATTTCAATTTCTAGGTGACTCATCTGGCACTGTTTCAACCAGTAGTCACGTGTATTTCGATATCTACTCATCAACATCCATCACCTCTCGCTTCTCATTTCAGGTGTTTGAACTTTATGCATATTCTGATTCTGCTAAAAGATCAAACCCCAACTCAAGATCCTGTCGACGCGCATCACGTTGAGCCAACCAAGTCAAAATAGACAAGCATGACATGTCGAGCAAATGCTTGAATCAGGGTTCAAGTGACAAAGTTGTACATGAGTTTCCATTCAATTTGGTCCCAACGTTCGCAACACAACTACACATTGTGATAGTTCGTGCTTATGTGATAAGAATCAATTCGTGCTGCATTTTCCGAAGCATCAACACCTGCGAAACACACCCACACAAAACAATAACTTGTTGCTCCATCTGGCTTTCTTCGATTTCATCCTGTGGCCCACCGCAGGCCAAAGCGAAAATAGGACTACCTAAACTAAGCGCGAGTAAGCGAGGGAGGGAGGGAGTGATGAGTGAATGAGTCAGCGAAACAGTGCGTGTTGGGGAATCCCATTGCAGGATGGCACGAGGCAAGGAGGCAAAAAATCTGCTGTCGCAACCAGAAATAGGAAGCCGAAACAAAACTCGGTGAATTGGGCGACCGAATGGGAGCCAAATCATGGAGAAAGGCTAAATTGCGCGAGCCAAAGTGCCAGCAGAAGAGCCTCTGCATTGATGATGGCTGCCGACAGCCGGCGACGGCAGGAATCTAAAGCCTTCCGCGAACGCTACAGTGGAATTCAGCGCGGGAAACCACAAGTTGAGTTCAGAGCATGTCTGCCTCGCGAGCAAAACGGGACTCCATGATTGCCGAGTCCTTCTTCCGAAAGTCCAGGTCAGCAGTCCTCTCCTGACAACTGCAAGGATGGCTCAGGACCAGTAGACTAGCGAGTCAGTCGAATCAATTTGATCGGGTTATGCTCGCCTGCAGTCGTCGGAGATCAGGCCCCATGTCCACATCAGAGGCGGCCAAAAGCGTCGCCACGACGGCCTCAGATGAAGCAACGATTCCAGTGGCCGCTGGAGTCTTCTTGTCGACAAAGACTTCAACTGTGCAGTTGAGGCTGTAGCTCGCCCGGGATCAGAAAAAGTGCGAATCGAGGAGTGCCTTTTCCTCATGCAGTTAAATTTGCGCAGCTTTCTCTCCAAAACTTTAACAGACGCTCATCTGCAGATATTGGCGAACCCCGTCGCATGAAATTGCCCAAGCTGCTCGCAAACGAAGATAAGACCGTAGATCTTCTCCGCCTTCCACAGGTTCACGTGCAAAATGATGCAAACTAGTAGATGCAGAAAAAGCTTCCACTTGGCTCGCTTGGCACAATAATCCCCTGGAGCAGGAAGTCAAACAAACTGGACAATTTGCAAGGTGAATCTCGGCTCATGCGCCTCAAGCCTTGAAAAGGCATAAAGCGCGAGGTAGCTATGAGCTTCCTCCCAAAATAACAAGTTGGCTTCTGCCCAGACAAGCGCGGCGCACCCTTGACAAGAAGCCATGCATGGCTGGCAGAACGATGGAAAACTGACATTTTTTCACAGTGGCGAAAGAACTTCTGAGCAGCCCTGTCCTCAACTTTCATGTTGGTGACTCCCAGCTCCTTGCGATTATCATCAATGCTTCTTTTCGGAATGATAGTCTAAAGCTCCCGCTCCTCACAAAGCTGCGTCAAGACGCCTGCGTCGTCACTTCTCCACCTTGGCTGGTTCTGGATTTGAGTGGAAGTCATGGACAAAGAGAAAAAGTAGGTGTTAGAGAAGGATCGACATACAGCTGGCACATCACTCCCTGCAATTGCCAAAAAAGGATAAACTCCCCCTGGCTACTGCCGACAATTTGACGTGCTGCAGAATTTTGTTACTTGCCAAGTGCGAACGATTTGTGGACTTGTGCTGTCGATTGTGTGCCTCATTCAGCCTTCATGCAACTTGGGTGCTCCTCTGCCATTGCGCTCCTGGAGAAGCTTTCGTCAAAACGCGCTCTTGAGCCGAAATCCGCAGCCAGGCTTTCCCTCCAATCAGCAACGGATTACGCGAATGATGCGGCAAAACAACTCTTCCATGGCCTGATGACGTGTATCTAGCACCGCTGTTCTTTGCTGCAATGAGGTCGTGCCCTGGCGGGCACGGTCAGCGCTGCGCCGATGTCAGCCGGGCGGGTGCTCATGCTCCGCATCTCCACTGCGACAGGAAAGGCCCAATGATGCCAAGTACTCTGGCCAGCCATCATAGCTTGACCCGACCTCCAAGTAGGAATATTTGTTTCCAAATATGCCGAAGACCAAGCACTTTCTTGGAGCCAGCCAAGAAGGGTCCACAGCTAGCTGGGCCACAGTAAACTGTCGTTCTGCTTTTCGAATCAACCTTCTCAACTTCCATTTCTTCAGCTCTGGGTTTCGGCAAGCACGGCTCTGGGCAATGCCAGTGTAACTGTCCAAGCAAGTTAGTTTCTGGAATGCCATGGAAACTGCTGCATGTGTG